GACAAATAAGTGGTACCTTCTTCAGTAGGTCCTTAATATATCAGATTATGTAGGGTAGCAAGTAACATTGACAATATCCTGTGATGTTTGGGGGAATCTCTGGAACCCCTTTGGTCAAAAACTCAACAAAATGAAACCCATTCCTGGTACTAGGGGTTTTATTTGGTAGAATAAGATGTGTATTTGGGGTATTGTTCCCCGCATTATATGGTATACCCATTTAAATTATATATATATATATATATATATGAAGCTTCTATACTATTGAGTTGTCAAATGGTTTTTCAAAAGACCTTTAGTGTTAGTTGTCCCTTATCACAATGGCCCCTTTACTGTATATAGGAGAAACTGATGGCCAGCCTACCCAAGCCATAATCACCCTGACCAGGTTCCCAGGCCAGCCCACATGAGCAGGTGAAAAATGCACTTCCTCCCAGAGCCAAGCCTGCCCAGAGACTGCTGACAAAGAGATACCTAACCCAGAGAAAAAACATAAAATGCTTGTCTTTGGAGTATGGATTACTTCACATGGAATGACTATTTCTGTCTTGATCAATTTTCCTGAAAGTTTTAAGTCTTAGCAGCTGAATAATTTTCCAGTTTACAAATGTAGCCATTTCATTATCTATTCTTCAGCTGATAGACATTTGTAATGTATCCAATTTCTGGTCAATGTAAAATAGAGCATCAATAAGCATGGAGGTATAGGGATCCCTAAATTACACTCAGAATTCTTTAGGTATATGCCCAGAATTACTATAGCTGGACTTTGTGATAGACCTATTTTTAGCTTTTTAAGGAAATTCCATAATGTTTTCATGGTGGCTGTATCAGTTTGTACTAAAACTGGTAATGATTAACAGCTTTACCTCTCTCCATATCCTACCAGAAAATTCTGTCATTTGTGTTTTCGATTTTGACCATCCAAACTGGGTAAGAGGAAATCTCAGAGAAGTCTCAATTTGCATTTCACTGATGGCTATGTTTGCTAAACATTTTTAAATGTTTCTGAGCCACACATGTTTCATATCTTGGGAACTCTGTTTGCTAGTTCTATATCCCATTTTTGTTGGGTTATTTATTATCTTGATGTTCAGTAGTTTGTATTTTCTAGATATTAACCCTCTGCCATATGTGTAATTGGTAAAAAATTTTCCATTGTGTAGACTGCTGATTTGCTGAAATAAATGCATCCTTCACAGTTCAGAAGCTTTTTAGCTTCAGGAGTTTCCATTTATTAATGATTGGTCTTAGTTTTGGTTCTGTTAGTATCCTGTCCAGAGTCGTTTTCTGCTCCAACTAGGTCATTAAACGCTATATTTTCCTTTCTATTAGATTTGGAGGATTCTACCTTATTATGAGGTCTTTTATCCATTCAGAGTTGAGTTTGGGGAATGGTGATAGACATGGATCTACTTTTATTTTTCTGCATAAAGTATCTAGTTACAGAAGCACCATTTTTGAAGATTATATCGTTTCTCCAGTGTGTATGTATGATTTCATTATGAAAAAGCAGAAATAATAGGTGTATTGAATTATGTCCTGGTCTTCACTTCTATTCCATTGTCCAACATATCTGTTTTATGTCAATACCATGCAATTTTTATTACAATAGCTCTATAATAGAAATTGAAATCTGGGCTGGTGATACCCCTAAGTAGTTCCTTTATTTTTTATATGTGTTTTAGCTATCTAGATTTTGTGTGTGTGTGTGTGTGTGTGTGTGTGTGTGTGTGTGTGTGTGTGTTTCTGTGAGAATTGTTTCAGGACTTAGATGGGAAGTGAATTGAATTAGTAAATACTATTTATAAGGATGGTCATTTTCACAATATTAATCTTAATAATCCATAAGCATGGGTGATGTTTCCATCTTCTGCCTTCTTCAATTTCTTTATTGAATGTCTCAAGGTATTTATTATATGTATTTCACTTGATTAGTTAAAGTTATTCCAAGTTATTTTTGAGGCTATTAGTGAACATACTGTATTGAATAGAAGAAGAGAGAATGAACACCTTTGCCTTAGCCATATTAGATGGAGGCTTTGAATTTCTGTTTATAATTATTTCAGCTCAAAACTTCCTATAAGTTGCCTATTATATTCAAATAAAGTCCTATATGCACTCTGTTTCCAAGGACAATTAACATTAAGGTATGGAGAGTTTTGTCAAAGGATTTTTTGGATCTAATGAGATGATCATGTGTTTTTTCTTTTATAATTTTTGTGAATTATATTTATTGATTTGTGCATGTGGAAATAACCCAGAATCACTGGAATGAAGCCAACTTCATCATGTAGATAATCTTTTTGATGAATTTAGTTTGTATTGTTGGATATTTGTACACTGTGAATAAGTGTTGCTGTGATTGGTATAACAAAAAGCAGACTAGCAAAATGCTAGGCAAGAGAGATAGGCAGGGTTTCAGAGATGCTTGGAAGAAGGTTGAGTCATGAATCAGACACAAAGGAAGCAGAATTGGCAGCATTGAGAGATGAGGTAATGAGCCACTCCACAGAATGTATAGGTTAATTTAAGTTATAAGAACTACATAAGAATAAGCCTAAGCTAAGGCCAAGCTTTCATATTTAATAATAAATCTCTGTCTCCTTATTTTGTGAACTGTTAGCTCCAAGAAAAATCCATCAACAGTTTGTAAGTATTTTACTGAAAGTTTTTGCATGTAAGATCATAAGGAGTATTTGTTTATATTTTTGATGCATCCTTGTATAGTTTTGTTATTGGTATTATAGTAGTTTCATTAATTTGGGAAATGTTTCTTTTTTAGTAGACGGTTTAGTAGATGAAATCAATGCATTGCCAGTACATCAAAACAACCCCCCAACCCCTGCCCGTTAAATCAGTTATCTTCTTTTTTTGTCTTCTTCATTTAAGACCCTTTCCTCTTCCTAAATAGACTCGCTTTATATACAATTAATCCTCTCTGTCTCTCTCTCTCTCTCTCTCTCTCTCTCTCTCTCTCTCTCTCTCTCTCTCTCTCTCTCTCTCTCTCCTGGTTTTTTTCAAGACAGGATTTCTCTGTGTAACAATTCTGGCTGTCCTGAAACTATCTTTGTAGACCAGGCCGGGATCAAACTCACTGAGATCTGCCTGCTTCTGCATTCTGATTAAAGGTATTTGCCACCAATGCCTGGGTTTTGGGTTTGTTTGGTTTTTTTTGTTTGGTTTGTTTGTACAATTTCTTTTGATCCACTGAGTTTAGTTATGATAGGCTACAAAAATATAGGTAGAGGGTGCTTTATTGGAGTAATAACAGTAGCTAAGCTACTGTAGGAATTGACTTTGTCACTCAACATTATTCTCTGCTGTTTTGTCATGTTCCATTTTTATATGTATCAACAGTTCTTTTTAAAAAATAGACATTTTAAAACTTTTCTCTAATATATTCACACCCAGAGAGCAGTTTCCCCTACTTCCCCTCCCCTTAATATCTCTCCCTTACCTCCTCTCTTCCACAGATCCATCCTCTTCCATCTCTCTCAGAAAAGAACAGGCCTCCAAGGGATGTCAACGAAATAAAGAATAAAATGCTATAATAAGATCAGGTACATATCATCACATCAAGGCTGGATGAGACAACCCTGTCAGAGGAAAAGGGTTCCATAAGTATAAAAAAGAATCAGAGACCACCCCTGCTCCCATATTTAGGAATCCCACAAGAACACCAAGCTACTCAGCCATAACATATATGCAGAGGAACTAGGTCAGATTCATATTGTCTTCCTGATCTCTGTGTGTCCCCCACATGATTCAGAGTCAATTGATTCTGTGGGCCATGTTTTCATGATGTCTCCCAACTCTCTGGTTCCCACCATCCTTCCTCCTCCTCTGCAGGGCTCCCCAAGTTCCATATAATATTTGACTGTGGGACTCTGCTTCTGTTCCTATTGAAGTATGGATGAAGTCTCTATGGTCTCCTTGATGATTCTGCTAGGCTGTGGACCCAGAACACTACACAGGCAGGGCAAACTGTAGATCAAGGCTTTATGGCTGGGTTTGGCGTCTCAATTTCTCCACTTGAGGCCTTAACCTGCAGGTTATGGAGTCAATTCAGGCTCCATAACCCTCATTACTAGAGTCTTTGCTAGGGTTACTGTTATAGATTCTATGGTGTTTCCATTGCATTAGATTTCTACTTCATCCCTGCAATGCACCAAAATTTGAGTCACTTATCGCCCCACAATTGATGCTTCCTGTTCAGAACCTCACGTGACCCAAGTCCACTATCAGTATCTATTCTGTTTCCCCTTCTCAGTGAGAATCTTGTGTCCTCCCTCAAGGCCTCATTGTTACTTAGTTGTTACAGAATTCCTGCCTGGGTCCCGTCGCTGGGACAAAGTATTCATTTCTACACCATAATTTCCCTTTAAAAAGAGATTGGTTGTGATCATTAATCATTTTTAGTTTGAAATACTTTTTTTCAGATATTCAAATTGCTACACATTCTTGCTTATTGGTTCCACTAGACTGGATACCTTTTATCCATTCTTTCATGCTGAAATGACATCTGTCCTTGGTGATGAGGTGTGTCTTTTGAATGCAGCAGAATGATGCATCCTATTGTCTAAACTAACATGTTAGGTTATGTATTTTTTTGGTAATTAAGTTAATTAATATTGAGAGTGATACTAAACAGTTTTTGTTAATGCCTGTTACTCTGTTGTGGTGGTGTTTCTATTCCTCTTTGGCAAAAGTGTTCTCATATTCTTTTGCCCCTGTACCCTCTTAAAGGCCATTTATCTTCTCTTCACACTGAAAATCTCCATTTGATATCTTCTGTAGAACTGGGCTGGTGGACAGGAATTGTCTAAATTTGTTTTTATCGTGAATTTGTTTCTTTTGCTGTCAATTGTAATAATTATGCTGGTCTATCATCTGCAGTATTTTGGAGTTTGTAGAACATCTATCCAGGCCCTCTGGCTTTTAAGGTCTTCATTCACTGAAAATGCAGGTATTATTCTAATTGGGCTCCCTTTATATGTAAAAGTATGGAAAACGTCACAAATGTGTGGGGCATCCTTGTGAAGGGGTCATGACAACCTTGTGTCATTCCAATTTTAGTATATTTGTAGGCAAAGTGAACATACATTAAGAGTATGATTTTTTCTTCCTCAATAGGCTATCAAGATGAAGCCAAAAGTTTGTTTTTTAATTAGCTCTCGATCTCCCAACCACAGTGTGTTATAAGCAAATGTTATATGGCAAGTTTTGTAGTAGCCTAAGTATATAGATAAATCTTTGGTTTTTAGTTTTTATTACAATAACCTGCTATTGAATGTACACACACACACACACACACAAGCACATGTCCAATAACGATAAGACACACACTTAAAAAGAAATGAAAACAAGAAAGAGCATTCTTCATTCAGAGGTACACTTACTTTTCTTCTGTAAACTAACACTAAGTGTATTTGCTTCAGTATTTTTTTCAAAAGGAATTGTATCAGTTTATTAGAGAAAATGGAGTAAAAGTAATTGTGTCAAGGCACACATTTAAAATAGAAACTGGCTCTCTAGCTGGGCAATAGTTTTCTGGAGCAACTGTTGCCACTTTTACCAGAAAGGTTGTAACACGATTAATAAAAAAACCCAGAGACTGATATTTGCATTCAAGATTCAAGCTTAAGATTAGAGAAGCAAAGCAGGTAGCCACCAGCTTTTACCTCTGCCTCAGAGTGAAATGACAATCCTGTCTCCACGAATCCTCAGAGATAATGCTCTCCACCAAACCTCATACTGTAATTCCAGACTGCTGCCTCTCCTCAATGTGACTGAAGAAAAATTCTTTCATGAGACTCTTTGCTTTTTTCTTTTATACCTCTCAAATGCTGGGAAAAAGGCATAGGATCCCAAGTGCTAAGATCTCCTTTGTAAGCTGTTTCTCTTTTAGACGGATCAATTTCTTATAACTCAGAGTGGCCTTGGACTAACAGATCCCTCTACCTCTGTCTCCTGAATCCTGGGATGAAAGATATGTTCCACCACCTCCTAGCTTCTATTTCTAACTACTGTGCCTGGCTTTGCATTCTGATACTCGAGGAAATCTTATTAAATCGTAAATGATATATCACCATAAACGCATCTGGAGTTTCTATGACCTGATTTTGACTCCTGCTGTGACATGCATGAGTGGTACTTTCTGTAGCACTTTCTTCCATCACATGCCTCCCCTAGGTTTGTGACATGTTAGATAATAAGGTCTGTTTACGATCCATTGCTACAGAGGTCTCAGAATTCTCCTTGCTAGTTTGCTCACTTCCCATTTTTCTGTCTGCTAGAATTTCCAAGCTCCTTGGTAAATAATGGCTTTTTAATTCTTCTAGAAGAGATCTCGCTGTCTATTTTTACAACTAATGATAGTCATTAGCAAAATTAACTACTTTAGATTGATTTGATATTTTGTTTTTAACCTTGCATTTGTGACTTATGTCCTGTGAAAGTGCCATGTAGCTATTCTGGGGCATGTGGTATTTTTCTCACTAAGGTGAGGGAGTATTATTTTTAAAGTATCAGCAAATTTCCTCAAACATACGTCATATGTAAACAATTAAAATCATGACAGGATTGTTTAGGATGTAGGCTTATTTATTTTGGTTTTGTAACCATTCATTTTATTAGTTTTGGAACAAATAAATAAATTCTTAACTTTAAAATGTCAATGTAATAGAAGAGTGAGTTTATTCCAATTTACTAAATGGACATACTCTGAAATTTGCTCTTGGAAGAACATCTTAAGTGTCAAATTCTTGAGACTTGGACAAATAAGCAGTTTATAAAAATAAAAGCTGAATTTGAAGATGACTCCCCATATGATGTGATCTAACAATATTCTCTGGATAATGGTTAGGTCATGCTGTTCTTTTCCTCAGTGATTATCTTTTTATTTTTTTTTAAAGTGGGAGTTTCTAGATGACTTGGAACTCTGCCCATCATCTCTCTAGCTATTTCCTAAATATCTCTGTGACATTGTTTCTCATCATTTATTCAAATTCTCATGCAGAAAACCCTTGCCTCATGAATTTTATTTGAATGCATTATGTGTATATGCTTTATTTCTTTGTCACATGGAAAATTCTTTACACATATATTTTCTGCTTTTGTCTCCTTACTTCATAAAGTTCTCTGCCTCTTTACATAAAGTAAGTACATTGTCCAGTTATTATGTATCTTACAGTGATAATAATTTTCATTTCAAGTAAATATTTCAAAGTATCCTTCACATGAAATAAACATAATGCAATTATTAAAGTACAAACTTATATTAAAATTTGATTACTACAGAAACCACAACAATTGGGGCATATTAGAAGAGCCATTAGGTGATGTTTTTATTTATACATATTACTACTGTATTGTTCTGGTACCTTCTTATTTTAAACACCAAACCACTCTGCACAGTACACCAGGAAATCAATAAAGAAAAAGCTCTTTAGTTTTATTTAGATTCCATTGGATTTTATGTATTCATGTTTGTATATGTGCTGTATTTGTTTTAATCACACAGGATGTTGTGCTCAGTGCAAAGGCAATTATCCAATTCAGATCTATCATCCTGAGGTTTTCTTCTAGTACCCTGACATAAAAACAGATACCTGCCTTTTCTTCTCCAGTGCCTGTTGACCACTCTTGCTAGTCTGCTCTCCATCTGAGAAACTTTGTAATTTTAACAATGCCGTAGAAATAAGTTCAGATGGAATACAGCCAATTGAAGTTGTCTTTCCTTTGTTCCTCTGTGGTGGAATTACTTGTGTTCATAACTTGTTTTTTTTTTTACTTCCAGCTGGTATTTCATGATGTGTACCACAGTTTGTGTGTCTAGCAACGGGACACATGAATTGTTTCCTGTGTGGGCTATTGTGATAGAACTGATATCCTTGCTTTGTGTAGACAGGGTTCACTTCCTGTGGAACAAATTCACCACAGTCTTTAGGCAAGTGGTAATTCAATAGTCCATTTTATATGAATGGCAGGTGTTTTTTCAGACTAACCTCACAGCTTTATATTTAAAGTGGTATATGAATAATCCAGGGTCTCCACATCTTCCCTATCAGTTTCTGTAATTTCAATAATTCAAATAGGTCTTATGATATGTCCAATTCTGTTTTAAATTTGTTTGTGACTATGGAGATATGGAGAATTTTTCTCTTTTTTGTCATCTTAAAACTAATGTCTGATCATGATATTTTTGGTCATGTTTGTTGTATTAATGTTAATTGTAAGAGTTTTGTCTGGACACTAGTTCTGTTTTGAAGCAGTAGTTGGTAAATACAATCCTCAATCCTCTTCTTGTCCTTTCATCTTCCTACCAATGTTTGGCTGAGTGAAACTTTGAGGAGTTTCAGGCTATCAATTTTATCCTTTTATGGCTACTAGTTTTGGTATTTAATCTAAGGTCTTTCTGGTTATTCCCATAACCTAACCATTTTCTCTCATCTTTCTGAAAGTTTTAGAGTTTTACATTTAAGTTCAAAATTCATATTAACTTGTTTCTTAATAAATTATGAGGATTAGTCATGGATAATTTTTCTTCCAGTTTTGCTTATGGCTATTCAATTCCATCTACATAATTTCTTCATTTTAGTGTCTTTCCTAAATTATTAGACATCTATTGCATGTCTTTCTTCTATTCATTGTCCCATGTGTTTGTCCCCTTACCAATACCAATCTCCCTTGCTAATATATAAGTTACATATAATAATTTTCCAATTTTAGTAGACGTTATTTGTGAAGAAAGCATTAGGGTCCTATATTTAATTTTTGGCTTTATGTTTATCATATGTTTATGACATCCTACTCTACAAATATTTACTGAATGCATATTTTGTTCTTGGTGCACCAGATACATCACTAAACAAAATGGAAAAGAATTTCTGACATTGATTACATTCATAGATGGAAAAACATCAGAAAATCAGAAATAAAAATAACTATACTAAAGAGGCAAATTCCAAGATTGAAAAATAAAATCTAAGGAAAAATAGGATTATGAAAAGAAAATCAAAGGAGGAACTATGGGAGATGCTTTTGAATTAGGGACAAGGACATGGCAAGAGTGTGCTGAGTAACTACTGAGAGTAATAGAGATACCCGACTATTTATATTTCAGTAAATCCCCTGGAGCTTAAAGATATCAAGTCAACCCTTTCTCTCTTCAATGGGATTCCCTGAGCACCAGCCCACTGTTTAGCTGTGGTCTCTACATCTATTTCCTTCGGTCACTAGCTGTAGGTTCTTTGATGACAACTGGAGTAGTTAATAATCTGATTACAGGAGATATCCAGTTTAGACTACCTATCTACTATTGCTAGGGTAATTCTTATAGATTCGTGGAAGTTTCCTTTGCACCAGGTTTCTATGTAAACCCTAAATGCCTTCCCATGAAGACGTCTCTTTCACTACCTCTCCGTCCATCCACCATCCAACCCAACCTCTCATGTTGCCAAAGGAAGCCACAGAAACAATTATCCTGAGCTCATAGGAGCTCACAGACTCTGAACAGAGAACTAGGGACCAACCTAAACCCTCTACATATGTGTGACAGTTGTGTAGCTTGGTCTACTTGTGGGACTCTTAGTAGTAGGGACAGGACCTGTCACTAACACATTGGCTGGCTTCCAGGAACCTATTGCTCATACTGGGTTGCCTTGCCCAGCCTTAATACAAGGGCGGGAGTTTAGTCCTACCTCAATTTGATATGCATGTCTTTTTTACATCCATGGGAGGCCTTTGCCTTTCTGAGCAGAAACAGAAAAGGAGTCAAATGGGAGAGATGGGGGAGAGAATGGGAGTAGAAAAGGAAGGGGAAACAGTTGTTTGGATGCAAAATAAAAGAATAAATTTAATTAACAAAAAATCAAAAGTATTTGATACATGCAGTTATAATACAACATAGCTTAGTCTAGCCTAATCAACTACTCCCATGCATCCATTTCAAATTCCTTTCTCTTCTTTAATTGCTATCATTATATGTTTTACATATAAATATGCATATGTGTAAGTGTACAAAGGCATGCACAACATACTTAACATTGCTCACATGTACATTCATTCAAGACTAACCATTTTGAATCGGATGACATATT